ACACTTCTGTACTGTAACGGTGCAATACCATACATTTATAAATTGCCTTCATCTTAAATGACTCATAAATTTCTCATGATCTACAGAATACTGGCAAAAAAAACTATGCAAATATGTACATTCAAAGACTTCATGTGTTTATAAATAATACTAATGTAAAGCTATATGCATATGTTTTGTAAACTATCAGAACATTAGCTATGCTGAATGCCTTCCACATCGTGAATACCAAGATGCTCCATTGGCTTTGCAAAGACAGTTGTTAAATGGAACTAATATAAACACCAGTATACTTGAACTGAGCCAGTTCACACAGTTGCTGCACAGCCACATACACACCTTCATCTCTTGTGTCACAACATTTCTAGCAAATTATTTTCCATAATTTGAGATACCTCAGTTCTCATTTCCATCCTTAAAATATCCCGAATAATAGAGAGTTGTCAGTACTTTGGTGCTTCAGCATATTTTTGGGTCAGCCCAAAGGACTAAAAACCACAGTATTAGAGAACATTCTTTTCTAATTCTAAATGTGGGGATTCTGGAAACCATTCTGTAATCCATCTTGACAAGTTGTTATTTTACCTTGCTTTTCTCCACAGCAAATATGATGAATTTTATGTTTTCCTTAATAAAAATTTAAATCTTTCTGAATCTGCTAATTCTTGGGAGAACTGTGTGCCAGATCAAATATTCCCTGTGGCATAAAATAAGAGGAAATTTGTGGGTGTATCCTTGCAAATTGTTGATTTGTTTTCTTGCTGAATTATAAATATTCATTTTCACTACTAATAGTAGGGGGGTTTGATTTCTTTTTAAGATGGTCCCTCTCTCTTCCAAGTCACACATTTTCTTCCTCACCTTATCATGCTCTAGATAATGTTTCACTCCAAATTTTGCCAAATCAACTGTTTGTGTGACAGCTTTGAGAGAAATGTCCTGGTACTACAAATCAGATATCGTAACAGAGTGCTATATTTTCAGAATGATTATCAATGATCCCTGCAAAACAAAATTAACTATGCTATTACTGATTGAGAACGTTCCACTGCATTTAGGCTTTTTGGGGGCTTGAAGTTTTTAACATTTGCAGAAAAAAAATAAAGTAGTTTGGGAAAAAAAAAAAAAAAAAGGAAGAAGAAAAAGACGATTAAATACATCCTTTTAATTAATTAATTAATTCAACTATTGTGTAGTGACTCAGTCTTGAGCAAATAGACTCTAAAAACTGCAGTAAGAAAGATGTATTTTTGATATGAAGCCTCAATGGAATCATTCAAAAAACATCTCTTTTCTTTACCAAGAGACTATATGATGAATGGGATTTTAATGAGAAAAAATTATAAAATAAGTTCTTTGAGCTTTTTTTAAGAGACAAAGAATGCTGCAGTGCAAATGCTGATGTCAAACATCTGTAATTTAAAGCTGTGTCTTTTTTTATTCCTTGATAACTGGTAGTTTTTCTGGTCTTTCATCTCTTGTGTCACAACATGCTCATGTCTGGTGGAGCAAAAGGTATTTCCAGCTCTTCTGAACCATGGTTCCAGGCTGCTAGAATTCATCAGATTTTGGACTTGAATGTAGTCTAGAACAACCTGAGGGTCACTCTTATTACACAAGGCTCTACATTAACAGCCAGACAAAAATTTATAAAAAAATCAACAAAATAACACGAAATGTATGTGGCAAAGAACAACTCTAAGTATCAGTACCTCATCAGTGTTGAGAGTTACTTGCTTTACTGCCTTTGGCATATGGGGCATATAGCTAAGTTTATCTATATGTGTGCCTGTGGTAGACCAGGCCAAAAGAGGAAAACAATAGATAAATGTGTTTGTGGCAGCTGGATTTCAATACTAATAAATAGCTTTCTACACTAAAGGAATCAAGGACAGATATGGCTAGCTTCCAATTTTGATAATATGTAGGTTTTTCAAGAAAAATATGATTTTTCTGTCTCTGAGCATCACCCAGCCCATATTAGGTGACTCTTTCACTGCATGTGCAAATTTAAATAGATATGAGAGACTAATGTTTCCTTTACAATATATTTCCTGTAAATTATGGCCCTTTTATATATATCTAAGCCTCCACATTCATAGATTCATAACACAAGTCACATTCTACTGTTACAGTGCCACTGTTCAGCATTTGGGAAGTGAAAGGTTGAGAGCTCTAAAGATGGATTTTGGCACAGTTAACACTCAACTAAAATTTCACACTAGCTGATTTAAGCCTAAAAGTGGTGGAACCTCAGCCAATAACAAGTCCGTGCCAATGAGGTCAGTGCAAGACATCACAGAGGATTAGAGAGCCTTTTGGTGGTGGATATGGCTCTGGATTTCTGTAAAAACTTATTAAAATGTAGGCAACTGAACTAGTTCCATGCATGTAGCTCTCATCTATCATAGAATTAATTTCATTTCTCTTCTGTAATGTTAATGAGATATGAAACGTCTTTTCTTCCTTTTAAGATATCAGCATTAATGACACAGAATCAGCTCCAGTGAATGGAAAAGAATGAGTTCACCTACACTATAATTTGTAATTGGCTCACTCATGGGACTTGAGTCTTTTGCATGAAAACTAGAGCTGTGTGAGCTCTCAAATGTGTTCCATTCATGCTCGCATTGTCAAAGGAAAGATTTGAAGGAATCAGTTTGCATTTAATTAAGGCTTCTCTGACTTATCGTGAAAATTCTTACACAATGTATTCATCAAAAGTTTTTAAGAGTCAGGTTAAAGGGAGGCGTATGTTTGATATTGCAATCTGCTGGTACTGAGAACCTGTTATAAAAGAGATCATTATGCATAAAATGGTATTTCTTCATAACCTAAACACAACCAAATGCATAAACTCTGCCACAACTCCCATGGAACTCTGAACCTTCTGAGTGGTGACTATGGAGGAGTCTGCTGGGTAACAATTTATTTTAAGTCTATCAATGGGTGCTTAACTGCTGTTAATTTGGAACAGTGGCTTGGGGAACTATATCTGAGTCACACACATATAAAATGATTCAATTGTGATTGATTTTATTACAGCAAATGCTCGTGAAGATTTTGTTGAAGGGAAGCAGAAAGGGGAACAATACTCAATTTTCTTATTTTTATTTTTATTTTTTTGTCACAGCACATAGAAGTCCTGGTTTCAAAAACCCAGATTGGTAAACATTTCTGCCTGGGTTCACTGGATGATTTAGGGTGACTGTACTTAAAAAGGATGCTCCGTTTTGACAGTCAGCGTCAGGGAGTATTGCCTGGATAGGTGTATCGGGAATGTCTCACACTGATAGAAAACGTGCTTAATTCTGACATGTTTAAATATTCCAACTCTACAGATCATTGAGGGAAATGGAAGATTCTGGTTCAGACAGAGAAAGTGTGACAACTATACTGGAAAACTGAAAGTCCTTTAGGGATAGAAAGTATTATTCCACTTACTAATTCTAGGATTATTCTAATTCAAACAAAGATCATAATCTTTATTTTGAATAATAAAACCACAAAGAAAAAGAAAATTGACATCTCTAGTGTAGTACAGCCCCTATCTTTTCTGTCACTATAAAAAACTCCTTCTTTCATCATTATTTTATAATGATGTTTCCAAAAAGCAAATGTCTTACTTTTGGAATAAAGCAACAGATAGCAGCGCTTTCAAAAGACTTTTTTCTTTATTCCCCCTTTCTGTGTATTACTCAGTTTAAATATTTCCCTTGTTGGGAATCATGAAAAGAGGCAGCACAAATTACAAGGGCAGCTAAAAGCTAGGACATAGTAAGATCAGCACTACAACCTGGTAGTTAGGCTGTTTTTTTTTCCATGAAAAAAAGTGATGTGGCCAGTGCCTGACATGTCCATTGTGGGCACAGGAATTCTATTCTTGGTATTGCCAAGGTTACTGTTAGATAACCTTTGGTAAGTCTTTCAGCTTTCTGAAACCTTAGTAAAACAGGAATAGTGACCTGTTGTTCAAAATCACCTAGCTTGCCTTTCCAATTCAGTTACTGTGACCAGCAGATCTCTAATCAATCCTTTCAGCTAAAAGGGGATGGAGATTTAAACTGGAGCATACAATCTGAGATTTGTCATCAGAGAATTTTTGGGTAGACAGCAGGGCACAGACCTGAAGAAACTCCTGTTTCTTCTGGAATGACAAAGGAGATGGGCTAGGGAGAGAGAAGAAATAAAATTTCAGCTTTTGGCTGATAAAAAAGCCCTTGAAATCACTGTTTTTATCTCTAATTATCAGGACAGCTTAGACTGAGCTCTGCTACTCCTACAATAATCTCTAATTATCAGGACAGCTTAGACTGAGCTCTGCTACTCCTACAATATATGCAGGGAATAGTATCATAGAATAAACCATAGAATCACAGAATGTTTTGGTTTGAAAAGGATCTTAAAGATCATCTCATTCCAACCTCTCTAACATAGCCATGGACATCTTCCACTAGAACAGGTTGCTTAAAGTCCCATCCTGGCCTTGAACACTTCCAGGGATGGAGTATACACACTTTCTCTGGGAAACCTGTTCCATTTTCTCACCATCCTCATAGTGAAGAATTTCTTCCTAGTATCTAAATCTACTCTCTTTCAGTTTGAAGTAATTTCCCTTGTCCTGTCACTACACGTTCTTGCAAATAGTCCCTCTCCATAAGTCTTTTATGCTCCCTTCATTTACTCGAAGGCTGCAATTAGGTCACCCAAAGCCTACTCTTTCCCAGACTGAACAATCTCAATTCTCTTAGTCTTTCCTTGAAGGAGAGGCAGTCCATCCCTCTAATCATATTGGTGGCCTCCTCTGGACTCACTCCATGTCTTTCCTGTGTCAGGGATCCCAGAGCTGAATGTAGCACTCCAGGTGGGGTCTCAGCAGAAGAGAGGGAAAGAATGTCCTCCCTCTCCCTGCTGGCCACACTGCTTTTGATGCAGCCCAGGATAAGGTTGGCCTTCTGGGCTGCAAGTGCACATTGCCAGGTCATGTCCAGCCTCTCATCCACCAGCACCCACAAGTCCTTCTCAGCAGGGATGCTCTGGACCTGCTCTTCCCCCAGCCTTTCTTGGTACGGGGTTTGCATAGCACCTGCACACTGCTTAGTTAAGCTTCAAGAGGTTCCCATAGGTCCAATTGAGCTTGTCCAGGTCCCTCTGGATGGCATCCCATCCTTCAGGTATGTCAATGGCACCACTCAGATTGGTGTCATCTGTAAACTTGTTGAGGGTGTACTTGATTCCTTTGTCTATGTCATTAATAACACTAAGATATTAAATAATAATATTAAATAACACTGCTCCAAATACAGATCCCTGAGGGACACCCACTGTCCCTGATCTCCATCATGGCCCTGAGCTGTTGACCATAAATTACTTCTTCCCTTGTCCACTGATGTAGTGAATCTGTCACAGAAGGCCACCAGGTTGGTTAGGCAGGGTTTTCCCCTGCTGAAGCTGTGCTGGTTGTCCCAAATCACCTCCCTGTCCTCTATGTGACTTAGCTTCTAGGCAGATCTGTTCCATCATCTCCACCAGGCTTGGAGGTGAGATCATGGAATAACATGAGCCACCACAGCTGAAAAGTCCTGAGGTCACTGCTGGGACAGAGAAGTAATATTAATAACTTGATTAATAATAACTAACTAAGCTTTAGTTATAGCAACTTATAGTTATTTTCCCCTCAATTCCTACCTTGATGAGCACATGTAGTTCTCTCCTCATCTTTGTTCACTGCCATTCCTGCCTCATCCACATTCTCCCAGCCACATACCTGATCCTACTGGCTTGAACACCTTAAATAATACCACTCCTCGATCCTCACAAGATGTTGCTGGACTTTCAGCAAATCTTCTGTTTCCTCCTTCAAATGTCAAATGCAAGAAAGATAAAAGGACTGAGGTATAACAAGAAAGTGAAACACAAACCACAGGAAATTTTTGGTATATTGTGTATCAACATAGAAACTATTGTTTCTATTTAATAATATGTAATGCTGTCTCTGGAGCTGTGTAATGTGATAATAGAAAAAGCTATCCTATTGTCATGGTGTCTGTCAAAACCAGATTAGTAATCATTTATCTCAAGTCCACTTCCCCAAACTGTGATTATAGTTTCAATGAACAATCAGAAATGGTCTACATCCATTGTGTTCTTTAGCATATTAGTATAGAATCAATTTATGTGTTTTCAAGGACTGCATTTTTTATGTATGAAAAGCTAGATACTGAGGTTTGATCCAATCCTGCCATTTGAAAAAATGGATAAACAATGTTGTGAACTATTCATGACCGATTTTTTTTTTTTACTGTCTGGCAAGAGACAGCTCCACATAGCTATGCCCCAGGGACATCAATATTTTTAAAATTAGCAAGGGATAGTCACTAATCCTTTGAGAAAAGTGCTAAAGTTTGACATCTTAATTAAGGATTGAGTTTTAGAATTGCTGGAAATTACCAGGTCAAAGTTATGGATCTGAATGGATATTCAGAGAGTAATTGAGAACATCCTGGACCCTGAGCTGTGATCCAGCCTATGCTAATCTTCCCAGCTGTGTAAGAATCCTGACAGATTTTTAGCTGGAGGAAACAAAATCTATTTAAATTGAATTAAGATATAATATTAAGATATATCATTATATAATGTAGGTTTGTGTAGTTCATCTTTGAACATTAATGGGTGGAGTTGTCTCCTGTACTTAAATAACAGAGGAAATATTTTCTTACTTCTCACTTCTACACATGGCTAATATTAAAAACAGCACTGAGGCAGCTGGCAAAGAGGCTTTCTACACCCAGGAGATCTGTGGCCTGCAGACCAGCAGTACCATTTTCATCCCACACATAAGCCCAGCTGAAGTCACAAGAAATAGCTTTCCCAGTTAGCTGCAGAGAGCAAATGAAAAGCTGATAATTCAGGGTGTCAGCTTGGAAGAGTCATCTTCTAGTGGATTAACCTCTAGAAGGATTACTCAGAAAATTTTGGCAGGCAAAAAACCTGGGAAACCAACTGAACTGCAAGGATAACTAAAAGTTTCAAGCATCCATACAGACAGGCCATAGGACTGTGGTGCACCAAAGAGATGGCATCCCGAGCACAATCCGTACCAGACTTTTCAGGAAAAGGTATGGCCCACCTCAGCAGAATAATCTGCTCATAGGCTGGAGGTGTGTTTCTAAATCTTCTCTGTTGTTTGTGACCTAAAGCACAAGGGTTTATATCCCCTTTAAAAATGTTTTATCCTACCTGATGCAACTGTGGAAGCTTTTTATGATTGAGATAAATCTACAGTCTTCTTCTTAGGTTTTTCAATTTGTTGTAATTTTGTAGCAAAGAGTTCCATAGGCTAATTTTGTACCATGTTAAAATGCATCCTTATACATCCTACATACACAAAGTACATTTGAAACTCAAAAGCAATAAGCAGAAAATCCCAAAGTACATTCTCTGTGAAATGCTGGGGTTTTTTTTAATTATAGCTGTGTCTAAACCAAAAAAGTGTCTGTAAAGCTAACCTGTAGGAATTACGTTAGGAAAACTGAAAGGGGTGACTTAAATTGTATCAACCAAAGGAATTTTCCCTAGTAGAACTGTGTGCTGAATAATTTATCTTGCTCAGATTCTTTTCTGATGGCAAAACTTTCAGCTATGGAACAAAGTAGTGTCCAATCTCCTTTCCTTACTTAATATGATTTGGCAAAAAAAATAATAATAAAAACTTACAGTAGCAATATTTAAGTATTCTTATGTAGTCTTCTGCAGTAAAACTGTGTCTAGCTACTGTGAAATTTAGTAATATATAGTAATACACAGTAATGTAGTATTTTTTTAATACAACTTTACAAGAGAAATGTATTATTAGAAGAGAGTAGAGTAGCACATTCACGATTTAATTTTCTGTCTCATTATTTTTTATTTTATCTTTCAGCATCAGTGTGATCCCTTTGCATGTGTAACCATACTACCAACATTTTTTTTTTTTATAAATTCTGGTTTTATTTTTAAAATATATGTTGCCTGTAGCTCCCAACACTGCCTCTGCTATGGCTCCTGGGATATTAACTACTCCCTTGAGTTAATAACTATTATATACAGAGTGAGATCCTGAGTGGATGTAAGTCAGCAGCAGACAGACAGGCTTTATATGCCTTTGCATCACATTACAGTTCCTGATGCAGGAATGGCTCAGGATGGGAAGAGACATCAGGAGACATTAATGTTATTAGAATGCAATTCTATGACTACTTTGGGCTATATGATAACTTTATAGCTAATAGTTGTTTTTGTGGGGACTTAGCAGGTGATCCAGAGTTCCATCTCAAAATGTTGAAGGCACATAACATAATGCCACTTTTGTCTTACTGTGAAGTACACCTTGCACCAAATCTTCATCAAACACTTTGTTCTGAACTGATGCTCTTGAGCCAAAACACACATAAATTCACAGGATATTTTGCTACCGATTATGTGGCATTTGCATCTCATATTTCTTTAAGGTGAAAATATATTGGACTGCTTCCATGTCCAGGAATCTCAAAAAGTATTTACAAATGGTGGGCTAAATACTGAAAGTGAGTTTTGATTTTTGTTTCAGGAAGAGTAGATTTGGTCAGGAAACAATATTCACTCAACCAGCAAAGTGCAGCTGACTCTTAGGTAAAATTTGTCAGCTTTGAAACAGTATACACCTACACCCACACAAGAACTTATGGCAGGAAATGAAGAAGGATGTAGCCAATTGTACCTGTCAGGAAATGCAGGTGAAGAACATAGTTGCTGAAATGAGATTTTTGCGAAGTTTAATACTTTTTCAAGTGTGGAAGAACCTTTTCCTTTCTAAACAGGTCACAAACCAATTTTATATTTCATACAAAACTTCTCATGACCACATCATCTTTGATTCATTTAAATGCCAGAAAGTGAGGTGCAAATATCCCTGCTGCTGTCTATGTTTCATCAGACATTGCTTAGTGTAACAGTACAAAAAATGGTTGTGTTTTTTTCCTGAGAGATTGCCCTCTTCACTCTCCAAAACCACAGTCTATAATAAAAAAAAAAAAAAAAAAAAAGGAAAGAAGAAAAAGTCTCTTTTTCCACAACAATCTTTGCAAATAGGGCCATGTAAGTATAAGTCGTAAGTATGCATAAATGTCTTGTGTATGTTTGTACAAACACAGGCACACAGACACACACACATATATATATATGAAAATAGAAAAAATGTTTTAGTTTTATATCCCAATGAATTTTCACCCACTGAAAACAATAGAAATTATCAACAGACATAAAACTTTAGCCTGCGTAAATTAAACGGTTCTGCTGCATTAACTTCATAAAAACCATAATCCTCTCCTCCATAAACTATTACATGCACTGCAACATATCTGATTTATGGGGTGTAGAATCGATGGGAAAAAATTAATGCTTGAAAAACATATTAGAGACATTATTGAACAGATTTTAATTGAGATTTGATTTCAATGCCCCTTATCCACATGATTAATGGGTCCTACCCCTTGACTCCAGCAGGCAGAAAAGAGAGTCTTTAATATGACAATTAAGTATCTGTCTTTAGGTTTTATGTAGCTCTCTCCTCAGATCACTTCATCAGTACAGTGTGGCTTTTGTGCAGATTAAATTGAGACTCAATTTTCTCTATTTTCCAGCACTTACTTATGTTTTATGACAAGCACTAAATCAATTTTATGCTATTATTGATTTTTTCTTAAATGGACACAAACCATTTCGCCTTTTGCCCTTCTTTTCTACTTTCCTTCTATTTCCTTTTTTCACTGTATGCTTGATATACAGCCAGCTGAAGAAATTTCAAACGTTTCCTGAGATTTCTACAGGTCGTGCCAATTCATTCACTTTTTACAGCATCAGAACTGACAAAGTTAACCTGGAATTCTATCAAAACTTACGAACTTGTATATTCCTTTAATGCAACAAAGTTTACAGGTCGGGTTTCTATCCCCACCTCATCCTTCAGAAAAAAAAATAAAAAATAAAATAAAATAGTGTTCAAGGTTAGAGCCTCCTCTTTTTCAATTAAAAGACAAACCAAGACAAAACAAACCACAACAGACAATCTTTCTACGAACTTCTGAAATATTTGAACTGCAGCTTCAGCTATAATTTTTGAAACAGTCTGGAAATCTAATTAATACATTGATGTAGGGAGAACCTATTTCATGGCTTGCAGGGGAAAAGGGCATTATCTGCAAGGTGCAATAACTCCTCTGAGATGTGGCAACAGCTAGTGGTACACCATGCAATTAAGAAGCTCTTGGCTCTTTTTAAGGCTCTATCGTGTCTGACCTATGGCAAAAATTAACAACTGCCTTGGGCAATAGAAGTTGCACAATTTGTAATCAGATAGCTTACTTTTTTGGCAGAGAATTATACATTAAGAAGGATCAAAGAGAGAAAGAAAAAATGTAATTCAGCTAACAAAATGGGCTAGACTTTTGGTTTTCTGGCTGTTTAGGGACAAGGAGGAGGTTATGAAGGATTTTCCTCTTTCTTTGTTTGAAGTCCAGCATACCTGAGCTCACATGATAAAATTAATCTCTAAAACGAGTACAGTAGCTTCATTTTGTTGAAAAAGTAATAAATCCTTTCACTGTGTTGGGTATTTATCTAATAACATTTTACTTGCAAATCCTCAAAGTTTTTAAAAATATGTTTATGGATTTATTTTTTTTTTCATTCTAAATAGCACAAACTTACCTCATGAATTAAAAAATTATGCTACCTGAAGGATGTCTATCATGGCAACTTTGCTCAGCTGATGCTTCCTTCAACTTGAGGGGAAATCTGTGCTGCCATGAATGACAGATTTTGGGCCAAATGGCAGAATTTTTTAGTTCTTTCTAAGTGTGATTCTATAGACTGTGCCCACTTGTGTTTACAGTTAATATATGTACACACCTCATGTGTAAGGCGAATGGAGTTTCTTTATGGACTTTCAATACCTTGCCTAAAGAAAAAAGAAGGTACAAAAAAAATTAGGGGAAAAAACACAAAGAAAAAAACCCAAATCTGATTAAGAAAAAAAATCTTAAATCTCACCGTATTAGAGATGCTGGGATGAAGTTCTCTACATGTAATGGAAATCAGATGGTGAATCAGTAAGTGGGAGAAAGTTTGGAGCTATGCCATTATGCTGTATTTCCCTTAATTTATAGAACATTGTTCCCTTCATACAAGAAACATGCCAGTAACAATGTCAACTTCCACGATTAACAGGAGACTGGAGGGTTTTTTCTTTATTTCTTGGCTTCCTCTTTACACTGAGATTTGAAGAGCAACATCACAAATCACACTGCCTTTCTACTTCATGTAAAAAGAAAGCTTTCCTTGCAAGTGCCAGATGCATGCAATATTGCGAATTCTGAATTCCTGTAGCAAAGAGCAGATGTGTCCTGAAGTCTCTGCTTCTAGCTGGAATTCAGAGTCAGACTGCTCACATGGCAGTGATTCCTCAGCTGTAGACTAATACAGAATGAAGATACACCATTTCAATCCTTTGGAGAAACAGCTGCTTTCAGTCTTAGACTAAAGGCTCCTTATTAATTTGCTCCACTTGGTTCTGCTTTGGATTTGCCATTTTTTGGTTTACCTATCAATGCTGTTAATATTGACATTTTTACTACTACTGCTACTATAATAATACTAATCACTGCATTTTGTGTACAAGTATCATATACATTCTGCAAACCAAGAAAATCCTGTAGTATCTTGTTTCCTTTCATGTGCCCAAAAGCTGGTGTAAACCATTGCTTATTTTATTAGCATATTTTTCTCCTGTGATTTATTCTTTTCTCCATCAGTCTTATTTATCCATTGTTTCCTTTTTAGAATTGGCTTTTTAAGAAGTAAATTATATAGTTAAAACCTCTTTAACAACCAAAGCTGTTTTTCCAAATAGATACAAATAATTTGAGTATACTGTTTAAATATTTTTAGTTGCTTGCTCCACCTTCTCCAATCATTTTTATTAACCTTATTTAGTTATTTTCTGACCTTGTGTTTTACATGTCTGTGGTATTCAGATGCACAGGTCAGCACCAAAAAGAAACAGGGTACTCTAGTACAGTTTGTGGGTTACAGTATCTTCTCCCTCACACACCTGGTGAGATATTTTTGTCCAAGTGCCTCATCCGGCACACCTTGGCAAAAGACAATTGAGACACGGTCCTTGTCACTGTGTGAAAGAACAACTGATAAGAAAAAAATTAAAATCATGTAAGCCTCCTTCTTAGAATATATGAGTTTGGGACAATGTGAGATGTGTCTCACATATATTGATTTCCTATATGATTTCCAGGCTAGAAAAGCACAAGTGCTGCAGAATTACTTAAATGCTTTCAGAGTGATAAATCCACAATAAAATTCCTGTATACAAAAAGGGAAAATTACCCCGTTGAAAAAAAAAAAAAAAAATTAACCTGCTTGCGGAAACAAATGTTCTGTATATGAAATGGTAGTGCAGATGAGTACATACTCAATGAAAAATATTTTTTGTTGTATGTAGACGAATGACATCACGTCCTTCAAGTTGTAGGTGATTTTTGGTTTAGCGCTGAAGCCGATGGATTTTGTTCGAAGGCTCCAGAGTCCGTAGGGCAGCCTTTGAAGGAGAGCCAGGCAATTCACGGGAGCCACGGAGCTCGCAGGAGATCCCAGCGCGGCGTTATCGGCCGGAGCCTGCAGAGACCCGGACACCTTTTGTGTTTGGCGCAGGCAGCGGAGACTGTCAGCTTGCTGCAATGAGCTGAGGGCCTAAACTAGGATCGCACCCATTCAGATCACTGAACAGCAGCAGCAGCGCTGCGCACCGGCCCCGTCCACAGGCGCACGGGGCCCTGCATTTTTCCTGCTCGTCCCGGCCTGCAGCGCCGCGCCGGCTCGGCCCACAGGAGGCCGCGGGGCTCCCGCTGCGTGCCCTCCAGCCTGGCTACCTGTTGGAAGCCAGGGCCGGGCCAGGCTGGCTGGGGAGCCGCACAGAATTACAATTTCACCTTCATCATGTGCGTACAACAGCTTTGGGGTATCTGGGGCTAAGCACTGCCCAGGCCGGGGTTGTTGCCTGGTAACAGGCGACCCCGCAGGGCGGGGCGGGCGGCGTTGCCTCCTCTCCCTTCAGGGAGCCGGAGGGAGGCCTTTGGAAAGGGGGAAAAGAGCTGTTCCTCCTCCCGTTAAATCTGCACGGGTATGTAAGCGAAGTCCCCGCAGAGGAGACGGTGTCAAAATGAGAGGAAGGTAAAAAAATAAAATTCAAAAATAAAAATCAGAGGAAGGATTTGACGAGGTTCATTAAAGTCCCCCGGGGAAACGGCGCTGTACCCAGGGGTCCCTGCAGCATCGCCTCCCGCACCCCTGTTCTCCTCGCCTCGTCCCTCTGCAGCCCCTACAGTAAAACACCTTAACTCAGCTCCGGGAGAGGGGAGGGAGGGGAAGGGACCACCTTCAGAGTGCAGCTGGAACTGGAAGCTGTCTGCCTCAGCCGTTAGAAATATGTGGAGAAATTACCTATCATTCCCTGTAGAGACATCCAGCAACCATCCCAACCCAGCTTTTCAGTTCGGTGATAATATGCTCCTATCAGTTTTAATAGCCCCATGCTGGATTCAGGAGGTATTATGGATTGTACAGCAAGCATATTGTCATTAAATTAAATTTTCAGAACATTCCCCAGCTCATCACAAATACCACAGAGAGTAATCATAATCGGTTCTCAACACATGTGTAATTGCCTTCAGCTGGCGTTTTTTACAGTTGACATTGTTCAGCAGTGATAAGGTGATTGGTGATTTGAATACACAGCTTGTTTCATAGCTGCCGTAATTGAAATATGGTATGTGTGAATGGAAGATTACATTAAGACCTAGGATAATCACCTGACATGAGAGTAATTGAGTCTACAATCTGCCACTGAGTCTCTCAGGGAGGGCTGAAATGAAAAGAAGCCATTAGTAGATTATGCCACTGCTGGCTCGGCTCGGCGCAGCTCTGGAGCTCCGGGATGGCATTCCTGGGCGGCG